CAGAGACATGACTCCGGTGACTGAGCTGGCTGACAGGCCTCTCCCGACGCATGACACTGGTGCCACCGCTGCGGGCAGTGTGGTCAGACTCGCTGCCGCTGCCAGCCGACTTGCGGTCCTTCTCTCTGCCAAGAGCTCTCCTGCTGTTCTCACTGTTGCTTCGGTTCGAGCCGCTGCTTTTGCTTCCTAAAGCCCATAAGTGAGAAAAGGACACACAAGAAAACAGAATTAGCTCGCGTCCACTGCTGTCTCCAACATCAGCTCCTACCAAAACGCACAGATCCAGGTATGACCATTGTAATGGCAACAATGATGACAAAACCAGGCCTGAACGTGCTGGTGGTGGTTTATGGGATTTAGCAATGACAATCGGTAGAACAAAGCTGACAAGGTTGTGCCATGCACAGGTACACGTAGACACCTTAGAGCTCGCACAGCGAAAGCAGCAGCTAGCCTAGAATTGCTGGCTGAAAGCCCTCCGCTCCGCTGCCGCCCCCCTGACTGGAGAGAGAGGAGGAGTAAAAATGGAAGGAAGAAGCAGGCGTTTAGGTTTTGACTCAAGCAAACAGGGTTCACTCTACTTGTAACTGTCTCTGTCTTTGCTATCTTCTATTGGCAAACACTTTTGAAAAAGAAACTCATTTGCCTTCTCGATCATCTTTGACCACACTGGGCATACTCGCACCCAGGGCCAAATGACCTGAGGTTAACAGATGTCCTTTTGCTGGCTTCAGTGGGTAGATTATTTTAAAATTGATCACTACAGTGTTCTGTTGTTGGAGAATTCTTCAAAAAACAGTTATTTGTTGAACTGCTCTACGATGAATCAGTAACACGCAGGATGTTCCCAGCAGAGGCCACTATATCAACTCAGAAAAACAAAGGACTGCTGCTGGTGTGTAAGCTGAGTTGTTGCTACATACAAACTTCATTAAACTTCAGAATTGATTTTACATGAAAGTTGAAGGTCGTGCTCTGTTTACCATGAGAGATAGGCTAGGATGATGTCAGGAGACATTTCCAAGTTAATTATTCTTTAAAAAACCCCAACAAACCAACCCACAGGGTATCTCATTAAGTTCATGCCATCTTACTGCAAGGTTGTGTTCCCAAAAAGGATCCCTAGCCAGCAGACTAGGGGATCAGCTTTTGAGTCTGAATGAACCACTGCGTCACTAGGGTCACTGCAATGGGAAAAAGAGAATGATTCCAAGCTGCTCCTTTCTTGAGCTACAGATGATCATCACCTTCTGTCTGCTCCAGCTGATGTTTACAGCAGGCAAAGAGAAGAGACAGGAAAACTAGACTGCCCTGCTGTGTATAGTGGAAAGGCTATAGATTCCCCTGCAGAGTGCAAGAAAAGCTGGGGACAGATGGAAAACACAGAATACAAAATGACTGGACTTGAAGTCACTATTCTGAGCCTGGGACTCTGAAGTGGTATTTGCTGACTGTAACCCCTATCAGCTCTTCTCTGCCCTGGGAAAAACACTGTCCTGCTTTGTGCCTCAGTTTTCTTCCAGCTGTAAATGGAGATACTAACATGGGTTCAGCTGCCTCCACCACATACTACAAAGATTCATTAAGGTAAGCTTTTTGAAGAGGAAAGGTGCTCCCTGAGCTGTCATTTCAAATGTTTTATAACAATCTCATAAAAACAAATAAAAGAGGAGAAGGTACTTGTTAGCCGGTTGACTGTTACAGCCTTTGCTCCAAAGAACAACACAGAGATTATCTCCAAGAAGCATCTTTGTAAACTCTCCAGGGTGGCACATTGTTCACAGTGGAAAAAATCGACATTTTATTTTAGCCCTCCCACAGCTAATATGCCTCTGCCTTTATCTCATGATGCATTCTGATGCCAACCATCTAAACTCTGCAAACCTTATCCAAAGTCATTATTCCTTGATGCAACCTCCCCATACACAAGAATTCATTGCCAGTTCCATAGCTGGTGGCTGAGTAAAGATCATGCAGGGGAGAAAGCAAGCTGCACTGAAAGCATATACTACTGATCTTGAGAGGTCTCAGTCAGCAAGACTGAGACTGCTTTGTGGCAATCCATCACGATGCTACTGCAGATTTTAGCATATCTCGAGTAGCAGCTCCTGCTGATCTGCCAAGACTCCAGCAGATCAAGTGGTTAATGCAAACTTCTTAGAAGAATGTGGCTTTCTGCAGCTGCACTCCAAGCTGATTACATGGCAGAAAGAAAACAGAGAAACCATCTATCATTACAGCAGTCTATCTAAGAATAATCAGCAGCACAGCCACTCTCCTCTGGTCATGTTGACGTTCACTCTCTCCCTGACATGCCTTTAAATCCTGTCACAGAACAAACAATCAGAAAGTTCTTCTAAGCCTTGAGTTTAAATGCAATCTAACAAGACTGTCACCTTCTTGGCAGCTAGGGACTGGCCTGTCTTGGAGACAGGCAGTCCAACCTAAAGCTGAGGTTTGAAATGCTGCTAAAGTGACACAACCACAGCAGCGTTTGTTTCCATCTAAGGCCAACTTTAAACCCAAGTGTCATAAAATGGATTTAAAGAATCTGCATTTTAAGTGCCTAGAAAAGCTGCACTCAGATCACTCGCAAGATACTATCAGCTTTCGCTCTCTATTACTGCTGGACACCAAGCTTCTAATGCCTAAAGCCACAGAGACTCCAGCTGCCTCAATACTTCATTCCATGGAAACAGAAGTTTCCACATGAATCCTCTTGGACAGGGGCAGGAGAGCCTCCAGAGACAGTGTACAGAGGCTTTGAACACCTTTCTATTGTTCCTGTCTCAACAGCAACATCCTGTGAGCTTGAACAAATCCTTCCTACTTCTTTCATCTCTTCAGACTGTAACCTGATGATCTCTCACTATCCAGCTGTACAGCAGCAGCTACCAGAACAGGGATGTGACTTTGATCTAAACACTATGGTAACAGAGATGATGTTTTGCAGAGGAGCTGGTCCTCACACCAGTGCCATTCCCTACAGCAAACCTGCCCAAGCCTTTCAAAATAACCTAAGCCCTGGATACCGCAAGCAGGGACAGACGATGTGGCTCAGGTGAAATAAGCAACAACCTAAATTGGAACAGAGCCTTGAACAGAACTGCAACATCACATAAAACTTTGCTACATCTTCCTCCCCATCTGTTGCTTGCCAGAACACAGTCTCAGTCTTGTCTCTTGGCCTAAATCTTAGGCTTTTCTCTGTAATCATCTGCAAATACACTGCATTCATCTCAAAACCATGTGACATTCACTGGGCTCTGGAGCAGTGCTGTTGCTCACCAGATGAATTCAGTTACAATCTAACATCACACATAAAAAAGAGACTTCAAAAGAAATCCAGTTCTAACACTCCATATTGAGAATGACCAATGCAACCTTGTGTCCCAGCACTCTTAATACGGGCCTGAGACATCTGGACAGTGCTCCAGTGACTTTCAGTAAATGAGCAGTGGAAGGACACTCGTAGATAAATCCAATCCATATGGATGACATCAGACTAATAAATTAGGAGTTGGGATTATTTATTTGTTTCTTTTATGAAGAGCAGTGAAGAGACTGGTGACAGGACTTTCCCATCTGAGCTGACAGTGAGGTATTTGATGCCATTCCCTCTGGAGCTGCTGCAGCACAGTCGCACAAGGGCCAGACAGGTTGATATGCTAACGCCACGCTATTGGACTACTGTGCATTGAGACAGGTTGAGCGTCCAAGACAATTAAAAATGAAAAAAAAAAGAAAAAAAGAAAAAATACAGCTAAACATTTGGGTCACAAGAGTCTAAATGATCATGCTGTGAATTCATTATTATTATGGAGGCATTTGAAGCTTACCAATCCCCTAGAGTCAGCCATTCCTCTATGAATCCTTCAGTCTAGTGCTTGCTCAGAACAAAACAAGGGAATAACAGTTACAAAACAAGAAACAACACAGAAGTGTAGTTTCCAAAAGAAGAACAAGGAAAGCGTTGAAACCCTTCAAAATTAAACACCTTGGTGCCTTTCATAAGGCTCTCTTTAGCCAGTAACACAGGTTGCATGGATAAAATACCATACCTTTCCTATTCCAGCAGCAGAGATCTAATATTCTACTGCCCACAGAACCAGCTGCCAAGAAAAATAATCACATTCTTTCCAGTACAATCAGCTTGCAGTTCTAAAACCTCTGGATACCACTGTGAGCTTCCTCACAGACACTTCTTATTTGAGATAAAGTGGGAAGAAGTAATAGTGAAAGCTAAAATCTTGTGAGCAAGTTCCTGATATGAAATTCTTTTGTGCAATTTTGCAAAATCTAACTGGCTGTGGTAAACAGGAAGAAGTTACATCCAAGTTACTGGATGTTCACCACAAAAACACAGAGAATCCTCACCCCTTCTTTACTGGCAGCATTTCCAAAAGCAAAACTCACTCTGGAAGTAATTTTTTAAAAAAGTAAATCTGTATAGCCAAAAAATACATAATTTTTATTTACTAAGGTTTAAAAATTAACCACAAAACTATCCTAAGGCAGGAAAGGAGGAGGTCAGGTTTTTAATCCATGCAGTATTATCTTTTTTTCCCTGTCATATATTACAAAAGAGACTCTCCTCCCTGTGAGCAGTGTTTCAGCCCTGTAAACCATCTGGCTGGCCACCTCACACTTGTCTCACACAAGCAGAGAGTGATTTTCCTTTTGTACTGAGCATTGAAGTGAAAGCCAAGAGCACCTTGGTTCTAATCCCTGTTCCATCGACAACAAAATAGCCTAATTTCTAGCAATATCAAGCGACTGCAGCCCCACTGTTGGCTCTGACCTCTAAAACAGGGGGCAATAGTTTATCTGTTTTAACAGGGTGGACAATTGAGTCATTAATGTTGGCCTGATGAGCATTATCTAAGTAGTAATCTACCGCGTGGTGCTGTTGGGTAAGAAAAGTATGGATGCCCAGGCCACCATGGACATGACAAACAGCTTGGCTCTGGTTCCGCACTGGCACTTTCCATAGGGTACAGAACTACAGCATAACTATAAACAGCATGTATTCTATTCTATTCTACCGACTCAGTTAAAACTTTGCTGGCAGTTTCAATACAGAGCTGAAAGGCTAACCCACTCCATCACATACACAGACAGTTTTGATTAAGTGCGGTCACACCAAATCCATGCAGGTAGCATACAAAACCACAAGACAGGAGCACAGACAGTACGAAGGAACTCAAGCAAATGGTTAGGAATAATGACAGCTGTAGAAATAAATACCAGAATAACCATCTTACCTTCGCTTTGCTGGCTTCCTGCACTGCCACTACCATAGCTAAAGCCTGGGTCTTGGTATGCTGGTGGAAAACATGGAGGGGGCAGAGGATATTGGTATGGGTATCCTTGGCCTAAAGGCCAGGGAGCAGCAGGATGTGGAAGTGGAGCAAGGGTATCCTGATCCGAGGCTCCGCTAGAACCATTGTTAAGGTTCAGTGCAGCCATATCTGGAAAAGAGAGAAAAGGTGAAGACAGTGTTCTTACCTAGCAGCCATCCTCTGCGTATTAATAACGGTCAACACAGCACCTAGGGCAGTGAGGGACTAGAGGGACTCAGCCTCCAGAGTTCACTCAAAATATCACACGCGGTAGGGCAGACATCAACATTTACCACTGAGCATCAAGGTACCTTTGCAGCATTTCCGTAAGTCAAAGAGGAATCATCCCCATTTTACAGATTGGAAACTAAGTGGGACTGACAAGCAGGATGTCTGTGGCAACACCAGAAATAAATCCCGCTTTCTTGAGCCTCAGTGCAATGCCCTATTTGACAAGTTTATCCTTCTCTTCCAAGTGGTCTAATTGCTTGGTCTAACAGGAATTGTCAACCACTTGGCATGCAACTTCAGAATAACGGCCTGTTCTGAAACACTCACTTGTGAAATCCTGTAGGACTCTCCTCTGTGCATCCTGCAAGCACAGAAGAGACAACACACATGCAGCTTTGCCCTTCACAGATGGAGAACTTACTGCCACAGAGGTCTCCAAAGACATAATAGCACTGTTCCGAGAAGGTGATTTTGTTCACAGTGTGCCTGAGGTAGCCATGTTTTAACATGCTGCTGGCATATTTTCTAGCCTCTCGTCGGTCTTTGAAGCCTTCCACGTGTGTGTAAAGCCAGTCAACCACATCTGCTCCTAAAATCAGAATAAGAAGAGGAGACACAGGATCACCTGAGTCAAACTGATCTTTTTGGGGTTTTTAATCTTCACGTTATCACATAGCCCACTAGTACTACTGTCCCAGGTACTGAATGCAAATATGAATATATGTAGTAATCTTGCTGCAAAGAGCTTAATATGTTATTTTCACGACTCAGCCTAACTGCTAAATTAATTACCACTGAACATTAATAAAGAATTATCTTGCATCCAGTTGAACACTACCTTAATAGTGATACCAAATAGGCACACAGAAAATTTTATAGTTACACTGTTCAAGCCCTTCCAAGTTGCAATAATGAAAATGACAGGGGATTTACAGAACAGAAGGGATTGGAACAGTCACCTTCCTGAAGAGGCAGATGTTACATTGTCAAAAGGCCTGGGTTCCGATCCCTTTCTCAGCAAAAAGTAACTACAACCTAGATTGACTAAACGTTAGCACAGTTCAGGTCACAGGACAGTCAGAATCAAAGGCAGACTAGTTGTGGTAAATTTAAATATAATTAAGATGCTTTATTAAGGTGGTGTGGCTGTCAGGAACTGGAATTACAAGGATTGTTCCTCTGCTGAACTTGGGCAGGTTGCTAGAGCCACAAGTAGTTACATGGAAAACCTGAGATATAACAAGTAAGGGTTTTAAGGACCAGCTATGCATGAGCATGAGAAATGTGCAGTATTTTTGGCTGTTCAGGCTCAAATAAGAGCTATTAATTATTTCCTGTCACACTTACAAGTTGTTCACAAATACCAAGTCAAGGGAATAGAAGAGGTCATAGACAGGGAAAAAAAATTCATATAGTTTCTTCAGCCATTATCCGAAAAGCCACTGTTCCCCCCCGCCCCCCGCCAGCATTCCTTTGATCTGCTTACCTATCACTGCGTTGGAGATGGTAATTTTTAACCACATCCTGTCCCGAATTTCAAGGCCTGAGTCTGGTAACTGCATAACCTTGACAATAGTAGCCATGTCACTCTTCACAGTTAAGGGAGATTCTTCTAATTCTAAAAGGAAGAAAGGTTACATGCTTCTCTGAAATGAACTGAGTCTGAAAAGACTTCTCAGCTCCCAATTTGGGTGAAACGTTTCAAGACACAGCTCAACCAAGAGATGCAAAAAAAGACACAAAGGTTCCCAAATGCACCCTCATCATTGGCATAAATTATAGATAGCATTCATACCAATTCTTCAGAGATTGTGCTCAGTGCAATCAGTTTAGTCACTGAGATGCTAAGTCCCTATGTGTCTTGACTTCACAAATCAGCTACAGATCAGCACTTCACTCTTTCAATCCACGCTGCATTGAGATTTGCAGAAAAGGAAACCCATGGAGTTCTATGACCATTGCTTTCCATTTCAGCTTGCCATGAACAGCCCCTACCCACCCAACGGTTCAGTGCACTGTATGCAAAACTCCATAGGACAAGTTTTTTGGCTCATTCTTTAACTTTTGGTTTGTCAGGAATAATACCCATCTGCATAAAGAAAGATGACGACCATGTCTTAATCAATGTCCATTTGTTTCTTTAAGATTTGGACATCAGCATAACTGGGGAGAACTGAAATTAGAAAAGAAAGCTTCCATCATCAGGATAAGGGCTAGAGATTTCCTTCAAAAAACCCAACTCTCCAGGATCCCAATGATGGCAGCCTTACAAATTAACAAGTCACTTAACCCAGCACTACTTTGCCCTGTATCTTTCTTGCAGAACACTTAAAAAACCCACTACTCTCAAATGCCTCAGCAGCCGTCACTGCTCTGTTCATATTTCTCACACAGTCTTAAGGGCAGAACTGGCTTACCAGAGGCTTCATACTTTCCTGATCAATTTTTATAATAAAATCAGAACAACAGGGCTGAGATTCACCCTGCTGA